GACAACCAGGCCACACCTCAGGAAAGGGATGAGACTGCAGATGGTCGGGGCAGGAAGGCCTTCTCATTTCAAAAACCTAGTTATTTGGATCTTTCTTAAGGGAATGGAATATATGCATAATCTAAGCAAAGGATTTGAGAAAAAAAAAACATTTTAAGAGCAAGATTTCTACCTCCTCTCTGCTGCCTCCATTACCTACCTCACACCAGTTGCAACTAAAAGAAGGACACACACGCAGATTGTGTGTGCACACACAAGCATAGGTATGTGGATGTGCATCTGTGTATGTACGTACCTATTTATCATATGTATAAAAACAGGAGGGAGATGGTCAGGGAGGATTTATGAAAGCTGGGACATCAAAGGGACCTAGAGAAGGAGCCCGCAGCCTCTTCCTTCTTCCACTCCTAGGAGTCCCCACTCCCGTATGAGGTCACAGGGCACTTGTGACCATTTCCTAAGCAATGCTTCCTCTGGGTTAGAGCCCAGCCCCCGAGACAAGTCCCAGCCACATGGCATGACTAGGTACATGACTCAGAATCCCCCCACTCCTCGGAGTCATTCAGGAATGGGGGATCCTGTGATTGCTGTGCACAGAAGTCACAATGGAGCTGCCCCCTCTGAAGGGGTTAAACAGAATGAAGAAGGTCACCTAGATGCAGAGGATGTTAGAGTCTGCCAGGTAACTGTCTCCAGGAAGGGAAAAATCATAGGCACAAATGGACCAAGGGCCAGCTCATGGCGGAGATGCCCACAGAGCTGGACAGCGTCAAGGGCAAGATGCTGTCTCCACAGAAACCCTTGGGGTTCAGACACCATCCAGGAGAAGAGGGAGCAGAGATCTCCTGCACCTGAACTGCTTCAGTCTCAGGTGAGGAGCTCCAAGGCCACCTCTGGCCTCAGCCTCCCTGGAGAGAGACGGAGCTTGGCTCTGGAGCCCGCGCACAGGCGCAGGCAGGCGAGGCAGGGAGCGCAAACGTGCACCTCCTATAAAAAGCAGCCCTCGTCTGTGCTCCCAAGTCTGAGCAGGAAGGAAGGGACGAGGAGAAGGGGCGCAGGCTCCGGAGTCTCAGCCTGATGAGCCTTATCAGCCGGGCTGTGGTGACAATAGGAGTGATTGCACTCCTTCCGCTTTTCTCTTTGAGAAACAGCCCAATTTCCAGCTTCTCTTCCTGTTTGATTGCCCAGAAGTTAGATTGGAAGCTGAGGAGGGATGAAGGGCAAGGAGGAAAGCAGAGGCAAAGAGGGAGGGGGGAGAGGCTGAGGCGGAAGGCCTCTGAGGTGGGACTCTAAGCTGCCAGGCTGGTTCCCAAAGGCCCTCTGCCTCTCGAGCAGAACCTCCTGGCCCCACCCCTGTCCAGTGGATGTGCATCCCCCTGAACCCCGGGCGTGCCATTGTAATACCACATGGGTGCTGACACCGTCCACAATAGACTGCCTTTTCCACGCCAGGCACCATCTTTTCTTCTTCTTCTTTTTTTTTTAACCTCTCCTTTTTTGTAAGGCCAGCTCCTCCAACGTGGACAGGAAGTACTATATGAATAAATCACCATCTTCCTGACCACGTCTGAACTCACTTGGTGAGCTACTTAATAAAACTACTACCAAGAGAAATAAGAAATAAGAAAACATGGCCTGCCCTAAGGAAAAATAATAATAATAATAAAGAAAAAAAGAACACAGAAGGAAAGGGAGACAGTCATCCCCGGAGCAATTAGACAATAATGGTTCCATTCTAGGAAAACCATGACAGCACAGTCTACTTGGCAGGCACCAGGACAGAAGCTCAGTGAAATAGTCTAAAGGCTGCGTCTCCCCAGAATTCCTACATTGAAATCCTAAGCCTCAAAATGATGGCCTTAGGAAGTACAGTCTCTGGGGTGTGATTAGATCATGAGGGTAGAGCCCTCATGATTGGGATTCATAGCCTTCTCAAAGAGACCTCAAAGAGTTTACTTCTACCATGTGACAATGTGGCAGAAGGCACCATTTAAGAACCAGGTAAGTGGGCCCTCACTAGACACTGAAGTTGCTGGCACCTTGATCTTGGATTTCTTAGCTTCCAGAACTGTTAGAAACTTCTTGTGTCTTTAAACCACCCAGTTTATGGCATTTTGTGACAACCTCCCAGAGGAATGAATAGACTCAACATTTAATAATCTTCCTTTGGCTTCTACCTCAGGGAGTGACAACTGAAAGAAGGGTGATCTATTGGTCCCAGCACCCTGCAATACAGCATCGATATCACCCGGGAACTTTTGGGCCAAGCAGAATCTCAGACCCCCACTGCAGGCCTGCTGAATCAGCCTCTGTATGTATGAAGACACCCTGTGATCCAAATGCACATCAGGTTTGAGTAGCAAGGCCTGCGATTATGGTGCACGGGGGAGGGAAGAGACCCAAGAAAAAGTTGGGTGTGAGACTTGTGGAGAGATCAGAAGTACCTTGGATGGCAGGTGTTCATTGGATATGTTAATCATTTTGTTTTATTGAGATAGGATCTTGCTGAAGAGCCTAAGCTGGTTCAAACTCCTAGCCTCAAGTGATCCCCCTGCCTCCCAAACAACTGGGACTACAAGCACGCCACCCCATGGGTTTACATTTGCTATTAACTTTTTAACTAGTTAAAACTCAAGAGTCAATGAAAGAGAGAATCAGAGAGATCTAGAGTGCAACATGTGACATCTGGGGCCAAAAACAGCCTGCCCAATCCTAGAGTGTGGCCCACTTGAGATTTTCAGCACACACACATTCACAGGTAAACTGAAAGACCAGCAGGGCTCTCCCGTCTGTCACTCCCTGCACCCAACCCTTGACTACAACCAGCGACCCCTACAAGGCTTTTCTTGAGAACCCCACCTCCCACCCCCTTCTCCCTCCACAGGAGACGTTGGCCATTTCCTGCTCTATTCCCAGCACAAAGTAAGCGCTCAATAATCATGTGCCATATAATGAAAGTGTTGTGCTAGCAGGCTTGGATCAATTAGTGATTGTAATTGAAGCTGAATGTAATTAATTATGTAATTGGGGACTGTTCAAGTTTAATTCCACTAAAATTGCATCATGAAAACAAGGCATGCGGAAGGACTAAAAGCAAAGGAGCTCACTTCCGCCCACGGTGGGCAGACTTAGGAGTCGGACCCCTTTCTGTCTTGGTTGGTTTGAGCTGTCGGAACAAAGATACCGCAGACTTGGCAGCTGAAACAACAACCATCTCTTTCTCATCGTTCTGGAGTCTTGGGAAGCTCAGGATGGAAGCACTGTCAAGTCCAGGGTCTGGTGAGGACCCGCTTCCTGACTGGTAGATGGTCACCTTCTCCTCACACCCTCCCAGGGTGGGGGGGGCTCCCCTCTTTCATGTTTCTTCTTATAAAGGTGCTGATCCCATTCATGGGGTTCAACCATCCTGTTCTAATTACTTTACCCCCGAGAACCCATATCCAAACACTATCACGTTGCAGATTTGGATTTCAACATATGAATTGGAGGGGACACAAACATTCAGCCCATCGACAATTTAAAAATCACAAGGTTAACCTAACTCGGGAGGTCTGGTCCTGAATCCAATTTGGACAGAGTCCAAAATCAAGGACTTCTCTCCAGTACCTGGGTTGTACAGCAGTGGTCACCCTCAGAAGCAGATGCTGCTCGATTTATGAATGCTAATTGGCTTTAACCCATTTCCATGGCTGCCTGTTCTCTAGTTTTCATGCCAACTGACTTTTCTTTCCATGCTCACAGGCTCAAAGGGACCTCTGGGGATGTTTAGACGAATGGTCTTCAGCCCAGTCAGATCTGACACTGCCCCTTACAATGAGTGTTTGGTAACGTCACTTTACCATCCTGAAATGAAATTCATAAAAACTATAAATCTCTACAGTCATAATTATTCAAAGTCAGACTGAGACAGGTAGGTGACACTGGCCACTCAAACACAAGTCCCACGTTGCCATTCCAAAATAGTGAACAGGGATTCCTCAAGAAACGAATCATGCCTCAACTTTCATAGTAATTGCATTTCTAGAAAACTCAACATGCAAAGAACACTTTGCCTGTACACACACTGCTGAGTTAGGTTGTTGATTCGGGATTGTTATAAACAGGGTTTTCATGAGATATGCATCCTGTGGGGCATTCAGAAATCTCACACATCAGAGGAAAACTCTGTTGAGTAAGGCTGTGATGCTCACAGGAAAGCATCAGACATCCCTGACCCCACTCACTCAATGTCAGCAGAACTCCCCAATCACTGTGATACCCAGAAATGGGATCTCCAGAAAGCCCCTGGGAGCAGCGAACCTCTGCCCAGTATGTGGCTTTGCATTGTGTGACCAAAATGACTGACCGAACTTCAGAGGAAGGAAAGCTGTTTATTTTGGCTCATGGTTTCAGACATTTAGTCCAGGGTTGGCTGGCTCCATTGCTCTAGGCCCAAGGTGAGCCAGAAGGTAAAAGCTCATGGTGGAGAAGCACCGCTTACCTCATGGTGGCCAGAAGCAGAGAGAGGGGCAGGGGCTGCAGGGAAGATGGACCCTTCCAGAGCATTCATCCAGTGACCTGCAGCCATGTTCCCCCACCTGCCTACAGCCATGTTCCACCTGCCTACAGTTACCACCTAGAGACAGTCTGTTCAACTTACAATGGAGTGATGATGCCACAGTTCTCATAATCTAATCTGAATACTCCTGCATTAATTCAGGAGTTTGGGGGGGTGGACAACTTATATCCAAAGCATGACAACCGAGAAACACAGATGTAACCCATCTCCTTATTTACAGATGAGAAATCAGAGAACAGGTGACAGGGAGGTCTGCCCAACATGACCAGCTGGTCAGCACCCACAGGATCCGGACTCCCATCCAGGGACACTTCCCAACGTCATGACTACATCTCCCCCACTGGACACTCTTACTCACAACTCCTTTGGGTTCCAGGGCAAATGGCTCCCAGCAACCCAGAAGGAACCCCCTGTCAGAGACACAGCCATAAGCTGTTGGTGGAAATGCTCTCTAACCTAGGCCATGTCACCCTGATGTCTTTAAATTAATCTCCCCAAATGAGACCCAGATATCTCCTTCCCATCACAGAAATCTAGGGATGTTCTGGCATGATGGAGAAGTTAACCAGCCCATCCGCCTTTCATTTACAAAAGCCCTAAAGCTACCCTAGGTAAAGACAGGCGACTCACTGGAGAGCTGACTGGTGTGCTGAGTTAAGAAGAAACCTGGGGCCACACCTCAGCTCTCTGTGCAAGGACACAGTGATCAGTCTGTGGCATCTGCAGTGGTCATGATGGTGGTGGTGGTGGTGGTGGGGCATGTCTGTTTTAGAACCCCAGACAAATCTGGTCTACTTTCCCGAATCAAAAGCTCATTCTATTAATGCCAGTCTATTCCATTCCACTGGTTCCCTTGTGTAAAATCTGAGGCAAATGTCCCCTTCCTGATAGTTGATGCAGTTCAATGACAGGATAAATTGCTTTGCTGCAAATGGCAGTACCAGGGCTTCCTCTCCGAATCCCACTCGTTCGTTCACTCGGCACACACAAGTTGAGCATACGCTGTTTCCCACTGATTGGCAGTGGGGAGATTCAGCAAACCTGCCCTATTGCATACAGGAGCATCATTTTTTGAAGCCCCTAATTCATAAAATAATACACATCACACAGAACTCAACACTGGTACCCTTTTCCACTTGGAGTTGATAGACCTTTAGTTACAGGATCAAGATAACGTGGTGTATGAGAATTGATTGCAATTAATGTCTTGCAAATGTATTGCTACAACAGCTATATCTTGAGGAAGATGTCTTTAGACACATTGGCTAAATATCGGTTATCTTTAAACTTAGTGAAAGTAGGATACACATAAGAATATAAAATGATCATTCTCAAAAATCTGCATGTGTGATAAACACTTATTAGAAATACAAAATTAAGTCAAATGATCTTTCCTGAATTGGTTTTTAAAAATCTTTAAAATACAAAAAAAAATAGGTAAGACATAATAGGAAGGTCAAATAGCTCTAAAAACATCCAAGAATATTTAATTTGAGGTAAGCTAGTCTTTGGGAGAATCGGTCCTTAGGCAAGCAGGTTTTTGGTAATTTACCTGTAGGTAGTTTTGTGGGGAGCAGGGGATAGGGGGTACAAGCAGGGAGAGAGCAGACTAGAGGAAAGACCAGGTGTGAACAGGTGGAGGTGGCCGGGAGTGGAAAGGTGGCAGGTACGAGAGATGAGGAGGTAGATTCTGGGGGTTGGGGGCAGTGAGGCTCAGGAGAGGATCCAAGCTACTCCCAGCTTTTGAAACTGGTGGCTGCAGATGGCATCATCCACTGAGACAGGGAACACAGGCTCCTTGGTCAAAAGGAAATGCTGGGACATCCTGGTACCTCAGAAAAGTAGAGATATGGTCCCATCAAATCTCCCTGCCAGGTGAGGCTGCCCATTGACACTACTGGCCGCTTCTCCTCGAAGACCTCAGACTCAGCTGCCCGCTGCTTCTGCAAGCAACCGACTCCCCCTTTACCCAAAGCCGGCTCCTTTGGGAGCTGGTCATTACAGGTCATTAGAGATGGGCATCGGGTCTGGCTGATCTTGTCTTTCTACTCTCCACCCCAAGAAATGCACAGAAAAAAATAACGCAAGCTGCAACCATGGACTGAGATACAACCAACGAAAGGCTGGGGGCAGCCTCTATGGTCATGGTGTTCAAGGCAGGCGGGAGACCAAGGAGGATGATTCTTCTTCGCCCTCTAAGGACTGCACGGGAGTCAGGAGAACGGGTCAGGGGGCAGGTCAGCCAGGGCAGGGGGGGTCTTGGCAGGTTCTCTATGGAAGATGGAAGCTGAGGCCCGTCACCAAGGTAGAGAGCAGAGGGCTTGGACATACAGAAAGGCAGAGAACAAGGTCTCTGAGCTGCTGTGACCACCAAGACAGGCCTGTTTAGGAGTCTCTAAAACAGTGACCCACCCAGAGAAGGTCATTAGAGGTCTCATTTTGCCCAATCGACGTGTGAAAATAGTTAGGAAGAACACAGGGGAGAGCGAGGCTTCCACATAGCTCCAGGTCCCAAGCTCATCTGTAGATCCTGTGAACTGGCCGGTGATGCCCACAGGCAGGTGGGAACACCCAAGGGAGACTGTCCTCTCCTAAGCATCCTGGGATGTCTGTATCAAACTAATACTCTGATCAAGGAAACGGCACCTGCTCTCTTGGGGGTGACCCATGTGGACTGCAACCAGCAGAATCAATAGGAGAAATTAAGCCTGTTTCGGCCAGATAGCCAGTTCTAAGAAGCCCGTGAATAATTAGAAAACAAGCCTCACGACTGTCCAAAGCACAGCCACGTAGCTGGCACCCAGCCCGAGTGACACGGGTCTCTGTATTTGATGGTGTAAAAGGAATCGGTCAGGGATGGGAACATGACCCAGTGGAAGAAGAGTGCTCACCTGACGTGCCCAAGGCCCTGGGTTGGATCCAGCATTGCAAAAATAAGTCAATAAAAAAATAAAACAAAGACACCAATCAGTAGCCCTTCCTCTCATGATTTCCATAACAGCAATAATCATAAGAATTCATTGCAATGGAATCCTATACTACCCAGCGAGTAGATGGCTTTCTTTTCTATCCATACCCAAGGGTTCTCCTCTGGCCCTCTCCAGCTCTCCATGCCTCAACATGGATTCAGGACCCTTAAAGATAACTAAAATGACTAGGAATTTTTAAGGTAAAAAATAAGATGACCAGTTTAAAATCATGTACACACACATAAAAAAATGGGTGACAGATTGCAGACTTTTTTGGTTCACATGCTTGAAAAAAAATCAAGGGTGGGTCTGGCCTGCAGGAATAGCTAAATCCAGGGGCTCAAAGGATGAGGCAGGCAAGACAGCCACTGGAGCGAGCAACCAGTGGGGAGTCCCTCCCAAGAGGTCTGCTTGGAACCAGGAGCCCATACTGGAACCAATCTCTGTGGACATAGTGTGGCCTTCTCTCTGTCCCCAAGGCTGCAGGGAGTCAGCACACTTGCAGAAATGAGTATGTATCCCTGCAGGAAAGGGAGTCCTGTTAGAGCTGCAAGGGTCACTGGGTAGGCAACTGCCCATTTCCAGGCCATGCATGTTGGTTCTTCAGTGTTGCTTGTCCCTGACCCTGTCCCTGGTACTGTCTATTCACACTGACCACAGCCTGTGGAGCAGGGCAACCTGAGGGCCACCACCCATGCAGCTGAGGCTCCAGGACCCAGTGACAGTATGAACTGCAGTTCTCATCCCCAGCTGCCTGCCCCAGGGAGTGACACAGGCTCCTGCCAGAAAATCCAATCCTGGTCAAAGGTGGAACTGAGCAGAGCCTGCTCAGGCCACCCACCACCAGACTGTCCTGGACG